ACAACATAGCTGACAGACAGAGGGTCGTGTTTACTGCCTGATCCACTCAAGTCTTTGACACAAATCCTCATGGCTGTCAGACCAACTTCCTAAAGGAGAAATGAAATATTAAAAGTTATTAAACGTCTGTAAGCTTTCATAATAAACAATTGTCATGCATTGTTAATAGGCTATAAAAGCTATTTCTTGTTTATTGTGTTTACTGTGGTTACACGCAGGTTTTAAAGACAATAACAAGGACCTGCAAACTGCCGTTGATAGGTATGCAATAAAGAGCTATGTCTTACCTTGACCCAGGCCGTTATTATGTTGTATTCTGGTGGAATGTGGTTTTTCGCTTTACGATCATAATCATGATGAACAGACGCAAGTACAACTGGTGACGCGTAAAAGGTAGTATTGAACTGCACTTGCTGTGAAGAGAAACAGAAAAGGCGTTTAAACCAGTCAAATTGCAATTTTCCTCTGCAGTAAGATTTAACACGCAAGAAATATCAGCAGATCGTCCTGAAGCAACCACTCTCGTAATTGCAATTTTGTTGAATTCGTTAATGTGTTCGTTGGATCACCCTTCAAATTTGCAATCCTTGGCTTGCACGTGTCGTCATCATTTTCTAAAATCTAGAACTAAAGAGCCACCAAGGTTTTTATCCTCATCAGGCATAAGAGGGGATAAATTTATATCTGTTTACTACTTTTCAGCTCAGTAGCTTGCTTCGTCTGGAAACCAGCGCATTTTGAATTTCAGAGTTATGGCGGTGGGTGACATAAAGCTAAGAACGCGTTTGTCGAAAAAGGTATACTTATCTCATGATTTTTAGCCTAGTCAGGAGTTAAAGTATTAGGAAAAGTGCTTATGTAAATGATTGTTTGTTCAGTACAGATAATCAGTCGCCTAGATAGACAAAGTAAGTTCCAAATGTTTACACTATTTTCCGGCCGCCATGTTGGTGCCCCGCGGAGGTACACCAACATAGCGGCTCCATACTGGGCTCTGTAAATTTGTGCAAAATATTTCAACGAATATCTGAAGTTTAGGAAAACGCGCAGACTCAAAACTTGGAGAAGTGTCTTTTTTACCAATATCCTATAACATCACAAATTCCTAACTTTATCCACGGAATGGTTTTCGAATTTTTTTTTTTTTT